TATCTCCGAGATTTCTGGGTACGGAGAGTCCGAGACAGTGTCGGTGCTCGACATGTTTGACGGCGGCAATTCTTGCGGCCTATTACTTTCAATTTCGTCGAGATTTCTTTTTTCCCATTTGTGGAACAGTCTGAACTGCTCGTTCGTGCTGGAGTATCTATTTTGCTTTAGAAAAGATGGAAATATGGAAAGTCGTCATCGCCTGAGGTCTGCTTTGGTCTTTTGTCTCCAGTTTCGACCTCTTTCAGTGGAACTTCGAAAACGGGAAGTTGATTGAGTGAAAGTGCTGCTTAACGGAGGAATTTGAAAACTTTAAACTGGAACTATGAAAAGGCTCCGGTGCCGGACAACAACGATGAAGATTTGGATGTTATTGTTTCGGGATTTGTAATTTAGATCGGGCAGCTCCCTGAGTCTCTCAAACGTGGTACGCCGATTTCGTGAGTGACTTTTTAATTTTCATTGGTGTTTTATTTTGATGCATAACCCTTTTAAATTTGGAAATGTTTAATACTAAAGAGTTGACATGTTAAGTAGATAAAAATTGAATATTTTTACCAAATTTCTAGCTGAGATAGTTAATTTTTTATTTAATGTTTAATAGTCAGAAGTTAATTGAACTAATTGGAGAAAGTGAATATTTGTTTTAATGGTTAAGTGCTATGTTCTATATGATTTATTCTAAATTAGTCTTTTTAAATGAATTTAATCTTCTTGAGTTCCTGTTTAAAATGATTAAGAACTGCGACGTGTTTCGCTATGATTTTTGTATTAATGGATTAATGTTAAATATGAGATTGATTTGAAAAAAAAAAAAAAAAAAAAAAAAAACTATGAATAACTTTAATAGATTTTTGTAGGAGTAGTCTGGCCAGCTATCTTAAGTTATAATGTGTGGGAATTTTCAATAAATGTGTTTATTATCTTTAATTATTGTATTTTTTTTTTTGTGTATTAATTGTGGTCTACTGTAGGTCACCCATGTGATCCTTACGGAAACATGGTTTTTTATCAACCGAACCTGGGTAATAATTGGTAATTATATTGCGCGGTAGTAGAAAAAAAAATTTAGTTTTAGTGTTGGTGACTATACGATCGGTTTACTGAATTTATTTTGATTTGGTTTGTTGAGTAGACTTCTTAATTGTGAGATTGTATCTTTCCCCGGTGTTTTGAAGAGTTCTGTGTGGTATTTGAAATGTTCAAGGTTTAAGGCTATCTCTAGATTTTAAGTATTGAAATTTATGTGTTTTCAGGTTGGAGATATAAATTAGTTTTAATTTAGTGAGAGATAGCCTGTTAAAGATTTTGTTGTGGAGGTGCATAGTTTTGTTTTTGTTGATTAATCGTGATTCTACCAAAACACCAGGGAGGATATCTTTCTTTGATGTCTTTTAGTTTTAAAAGTTTTCATTATGTATGTACAAAGTTAGAGTAGTAGTTTTAATTTTTTTTTTTTTTTTTTTTTTTTTTTTTTTTTTTTTTTTTTTGTCGCGGCACCATGCAGTCAGTTGTAAAGAGATAAAAGTTAAGTGAAAAGTAAAATATTTTTTTTTTTTTTTTACATAACAAATGGTGCCGTGACCTCGCGACTGGTAGACCACTGTATGTAAATGTGTATTTTTGAATTATGTATTGAATTTCTATTTTGTGTATGCTTATACTGTGTTTTGAGTAGAGCTGAATTTTTATGTTTGCTTTTACCTAGCTGCTCTGACACACCTTTTAGTTAATTTGAAGTACTGTGCAGTAATGGAATTTTTCTGAATTGCTTGTGTTAACTGCGTTTTTTTTTAATAGTTTGATTTGGTTAGTTCCATTTTTAGTGAATTATTTTTAATGTCAGAACAATTGTTTGTTTTAACTTAACAGTGAAGTTTTTTTAAGTTCGTAAATTGTGTTAATGGATTAGGGAATTTGTACAACAGATGTGTATTTTATTTTGAGTAATTGAGTTGCTTTCTTAACTTTAATGCGCGTTAGTTTTGTAAAGTTGCGCGGGACCAGTGATAGTCTGTTTAGAAATTTGACTGAATTTTTTTAGATTTTAGGGAAATGTTTAGATTATCAGCTTGAGTGAAGTTGTTTAGCTTTTTGTGTGTTCAATTATTCTGTGGTTGTGGTTTGGCTTAATGAGTTGTACAAGTAGTAATTGAGATTCCACCTAATTTCTGAGTTTTGGTAGTTTGATGATTAGTGGTTACTTTTGGTGAGAAATGGTTAAACAGTAGAAGTGTAGTGTTTTTTAAGAGAATTTAGAATTGCGAGTTATGAGAATTTTTGTGACAATTTGTTTTGTGAGAATTTTGTGCGACAAGGTAGAATATTGTTGTGTTGTGAAATTTATGAAATTAGGATAATTACTCTTCTATACTCATTGTGTAGGTGTTCAGGTTGTTTAAATGCTAGTCTGGTGAGGAAATTAATAGTGAGTTGTGTATATTTGTTTTTAACTGTGAGTTAAATTGTTAATGAGTAATCTATTTGATGTTTTTTTATTAGTTTTTTAATTTTTGTCACTGGATTTCTGTTCTTGATTGGAATTTGTTGCAAACTTATGGGTTTAATTCTAATTCGGTATTTGAGTTTTGTGCTGGTTTGGATCGTTGGTGTGAAATGAGAATGAATACTTATACGGGAGACTTCAGGTTGCTGGAGCAGTTTTTGTGTGAATTTGATATTATGAGTTTTTTTTTTTTTTTTTTCATTAGTATTATGCTATGCATTTTCAGTTTATTGCCATTGTTTTAAACTCACAAGACTTCTTGTTGCTTTTATACTTGGGTAGAGACACTGCCAGGTTTCAGTGTGGATTTTTACTTGGAGCTTAGTGTACGCATTTGTGGAGTTATTGATTTTTGAGTTGAGTTGAGTTTATTTTTGGAGATTTTGAGTTTTAAAAGCACTTCCTCCTTGTTTGAGATATTCACATTTATTCCTTGCAGGTATTTTGGTAGTCTATTTGGTAGATTTTTTGTGTTTATGCTAACGTCTGCATCTCACAATTGCAGAGCATGCACTTTTGTCCTGAACAGACTGCTGTCTCGTTTTTCTAAATTGGGGTTTTGTATGTTTCATTTTTTTGTTTACTTTGGGTACGTTTTTGTATAGATGTTGCTCAATACTGCATTTTCTCAAATCAGTGCACATTCCCTAAACAGCTTTTGTAGACAAATTTTATGTTTCATACGGTTTAAATTTTAAGGGTATTTTGAACACCTTTTTGGTTATTTTGAGATTTTTATATGTGTTTTTAACTTGCTTCGGTTCGGTCTTGATGTAGTCCTGGTGACAAATTTTGTCTAGAATTTTTTTTTCGGTAATTGATTTATTATTGAGTTTTGATTCCTTACATTTGTCTTGAATTTTCTTTGGCTCTTTGAAGAATTTTTTTTTTTAAAGTTCCGAGTTTATTTAGTTGGTTTTCACTCTGTTGGTGGTATGCGCATGTTGAGAGTTTTCTTAGTTTCGGTTTTAGTTCGTGACTCCATAGTGGTTTGCGTTTAGGAATTTATTCGGCTGGTCCGAATTTTTCATTTTCCTGGTTCAAGTTAAGTTTTCAAATTTTTTTTTCCCTTTTGTTTCTAGTTACGCGCTAGACGTTTTTTGGCTTAGATTTTGGTCAAGTTACTGAATTCCGTTTCTGGAGCTTTTCTCTGCGTGTTTGTACTTCCTTTCAGTTTAGAGGTTATTTCTGATAAACTTTTCTGGTTCTTGTTGTTTGCTTCTGTTGTTGATTAGGATACTAAAAGCTTGTATTTATTTACTCACTAGTTGTTTGGTTGTTTCTGGTTATGAGCATTGTGTTACCAAGTTAGTAATTAAAGGTATCAGTGACACTTCACTCTTGCTGTCTTTGTAGCTACAAATTGAATAGTATTTAAATGTTTTAGTTGAATTTTATTTTTCGTTGGTTTAAGTGTAGGTAAGTTTTTAATAGTTGTGTGTACTTATCACTGTTCTCCGTGACTACTTCCAGGTGTGTAATAATATTTGTTGTGCTTAATTTTAATATTTTACTGTGTTTAATGAATTTATATTGAGCTTATTTTAAATTAATGTATAATATTTAACATTGTTAAACTTTACGGCAAATCTCCCTTAAGTTTGGCTGAATAGTTGTTACAGTTAAAAGGGCGCGGTTGTATTTCCGTTTCTCACGCGTAGGCGTCTTTGGAGGTTAGAGGTCACTGTCCAGCTGCATTTTCCCCTTTTTTCGCGGGGGGGTTGAAAACACGTGTTTTTCTCGTTCAGAGGCGAATAGTTCTAAGGGGGGGCAGCGATATTTTGACATAGGTTGGAAACATTCTTCTGTTGCGTGGGAAAGAAAGGGTCTGTTTTCTTCTAGAAAGTTCTGAATTTCTGAGAATTTCAGTGGCGATTTATGACCTTTCTTTTAGTTGGCGAAAGAGATTCTAAGTTTCCTTAAGATTGGCTAAATTTTTTAATTTTAGTTTAGTTTGAACCAATAGTTATTTTGAGGCGTTTCTTGGTGTGTAAACCGAGGTTTCTTAAGCCGTTGCACGGAAGGCAGGGGGAAACTTTTTGGACTTGGAAAAAAAAAAAAAAAATGCGATTTTTAGAGAAGACTTTTAGCAGATTTTTTTTGGAGCCTTAGCGGGTTTGCTACTTTGACGGCGGCCCCTATCGGGGCCGGCCGCGGTCAGTGAAGTGCTGGATGGCTGCGGAGGAAAAACGCGGCGGTTCTTCGGGTGGTCGACCGCGGTATACAGTTAAGTTTTTATCTCCGAGATTTCTGGGTACGGAGGGTCCGAGACAGTGTCGGGTGCTCGACATGTTGACAGCGGCAATTCTTGCGGCCTATTATTTTCAATTTCGTTCTGAGATTTCTTTTTTCCCATTTGTGGAACAGTCTGAACTGCTCGTTCGTGCTGGAGTATCTATTTTGCTTTAGAAAAGATGGAAATATGGAAAGTCGTCATCGCCTGAGGTCTGCTTTGGTCTTTTGTCTCCAGTTTCGACCTCTTTCAGTGGAACTTCGAAAACGGGAAGTTGATTGAGTGAAAGTGCTGCTTAACGGAGGAATTTGAAAACTTTAAACTGGTACTATGAAAAGGCTCCGGTGCCGGAAAACAACGATGAAGATTTGGATGTTATTGTTTCGGGTTTTGTAATTTAGATCGGGCAGCTCCCTAAGTCTCTCAAAGGTGGTACGCCGATTTCGTGAGTGACTTTTTAATTTTCATTGGTGTTTTATTTTGATGACATGTTAAGTAGATAAAAATTGAATATTTTTACCAAATTTCTAGCTGAGATAGTTAATTTTTTATTTAATGTTTAAGTAATAGTCAGAAGTTCAATTGAACTAATTGGAGGAAAGTGAATATTTCTTTTTTTTTGTTTTAATGGTTAAGTGCTATGTTCTATATGATTTATTCTAAATTAGTCTTTTTAAATGAATTTAATCTTCTTGAGTTCCTGTTTAAAATGATTAAGAACTGCGACGTGTTTCGCTATGATTTTTGTATTAATGGATTAATGTTAAATATGAGATTGATTTGAAAAAAAAAAAAAAAAAACTATGAATAACTTTAAAAGATTTTTGTAGGAGTAGTCTGGCCAGCTATCTTAAGTTATAATGTGTGGGAATTTTCAATAAATGTGTTTATTATCTTTATTATTGTATTTTTTTTTGTGTATTAATTGTGGTCTACTGTAGGTCACCCATGTGATCCTTACGGAAACATGGTTTATCAACCGAATCTGGGTAATTATATTGCGGTAGTAGAAAAAAAAATTAATTTTAGTGTTGGTGACTGTACGATCGGTTTGCTGAATTTATTTTGATTTGGTTGAGTAGACTTCTTAATTGTGTGATTGTATCTTTCCCCGGTGTTTTGAAGAGTTCTGTGTGATATTTGAAATGTTCAAGGTTTAAGCTTATCTCTGGATTTAAGATTGAAATTTATGTGTTTTCAGGTTGGAGATATAAATTAGTTTTCATTTAGTGAGAGATAGCCTGTTAAAGATTTTGTTGTGGAGGTGCATAATTAATCGTGATTCTACCAAAACACCAGGGAGGATATCTTTCTTTGATGTCTTTTAGTTTTAAAAGTTTTCATTATGTATGTACAAAGTTAGAGTAGTAGTTTTAATTTTTTTTTTTTTTTTTTTTTTTTTTTTTTTGTCGCGGCACCAAGCAGTCAGTTGTAAAGAGATAAAAGAAGTTAAGTGAAAAGTAATATTTTTTTTCTACATAACAAATAGCGAATTTAATTTAATTAAGTGATTCATAAAAATCAAAATTTTAATTTGTAATTATTAAAAATTTGAGCTACTCAAGTTTGGTTATATTCTTTTTGGGCCTATTAATTCTAATGTAATATATTTTGGCTTTGCGAGTTTACGCGGACTGCGTCTTCATTCTTGTACACGCAAACAATGGATAAGTATTTTTCCTGCGTAATAAACTCAGTTTTTCATGTCAAAAATTAATTTGATTTCTTAGTATTTAATATCATTAGTTGCAGAAAAATTAGCTCTTTAATTTGGCATAACTTTCATTTTTCTAACTTTAATTGCATTTCAGTTATGAGCTTTAATTAGTAGATTTTTCTTCGTTTCGCTTGTGATTTAGTTAAAGGGGGATGAAATGCCTTTCTTTCCGGTTTTGAAAGTCACTTTTTGCGAGTTTTCAGCGTTCTTTTCGTTGGGACCCTTGCAGGGTTGTTGAAATTCCTAATCTTCCCCGGTCGCAGGTGGTGTTTATTTGGCGAGGGTTTGGCGACATAGATTTTCCGTTGAGGTTTCAAAATAGTGGTTTTGGCGAGTTTGATAACATGAGGGTATGCTGTGGTTGCAACTATTTCAACTTTCGGCGGAAAATGGGTTGCGCCAACTTGGCAGTCCGACGCTCTCCCTTTTAACGGGTTGTTTTATGGGACGAGTTGACTTTTTTACACTTTTTTGCACTTTCTACTTACCATCGGACGCTGTCTCGTTGGCAGCTAAATTTCATTTCGGAAAATGCATTTTTCCGCCTTTGGATCTACGGGCCTCTTGCCCTGGAGTTTTGAACGAGGGACTTAGTTGCACGCATTATGACCTCGACTAAATTATAGGCTCCTCATTGCCGTGCCTTAATATTTAAGTTACTCAAAGATAATTACAATAGAAAAATGCTAAGAAGGGTGATGCCTAGTTCTAGTGCCGTTAAGAAGAAATTTCAGTCTCTCCTCCATGAATAGAGTTTTCATCTGCATCGCTAGTTCCTGTGTTGCTATTACTTAATGCTACACTTCAATATTCTCCTCCATGAATAGAGTTTTCATCTGCATCGCTAGTTCCTGTGTTGCTATTACTTAATGCTACACTTCAATATTCTCCTCCATGAATAGAGTTTTCATCTGCATCGCTAGCTCCTGTGTTGCTATTACATAATGCATCACTTCAATATTCTCCTCCATGAAGAGAGTTTCCATCTGCATCGATATTCCTAATCTTTAAGAATTAATTGCCGCCATCAAGAGTCTTCTGCATCGCTAGCTCCGGTGTCGCCACGACAAAAAAATGCTAACTTCAATATTGGATTGGACATCAAAGAGAACCTCCGTAGTGCTTCTTAAATCAATAGTATTTGCTGGACTTTTTGGAAAACTATCCACCTATGAACTCTTCTCATTTTCTACTACGCTCAGCAGCCGTCCTCCTTGGCATCTTGATAATTTTTAAATATGAGGGCATTTCTCCTCCTCCTTTTCACCTGCAGCCTGTATTTCATCAGATAAGTTTTTTTATTTGTTTTCTTTATTTTGTTGGTCTGATATTTAAAAAAAAAAAAAAAAAAAAGGAAAAAAAAATTATAATAGTTAATTCTTATAGTAAAGTTTAATAGGACATTTCTAATAAGTAATTCTAAACAACTAAATAGTTAATAGTGATTGAAATAACTTAATTAGTTGAATTAAAATTTTGTAGTTGAGTAAACTAACCTAATTCTAATGAAATCATTTTGTTGTCCATAAAGTAAAATTATTAGATTGGCCAAGGAAATATATCATTATTTAAATTAGTTTAATTGAAACAGTGAATGTAAATTAGTCAGATTGGTTAAGGAAATTTATTCTTCACTAAATTATTTAATTGAACTTGTGAATTTCTTTCTTGGTGAAGATTGATTGGTAAAGGTGTCATTATTTGAGCTTCTTTGCTCCTCTTAGGAATTAAATTGCTTGTAGGAGTAATAGCCTGATTTAATTAATATTACCCGGTTAAATCATTCTTTTGAAAATAGAAAGTTCTACTGTGCAAAACCAGAATTACATTGGTATTGATTACTCTGTGTGAAATGTTTTTTTTTTTGGAATGTATAAACTTGTTAATTATTCTTTTTTTTTTTCTCCCCGGGGAGGGTATTGTTAATTTACCCAAAGTTTTATCTGATCATATTTATCTGAATGTAATAGCAATAATAGTTTGATATTATTGAGTCTAAGATAGAAGTAATATTACTCTGTAGAGGTATGCATTTTGTTGAAAGCAATATTTTACAGTTCAGCTTGAATATGATTTGCTTACTAAGTTAATTCTGCACTGTGTAATAATCAATATGTTAACAGTTCTGATTGAATATTAATTGCCTACAAATTACTGGACTAAGTAACTCTTAAAAATTTTAATAAATAGGCTCACTTTTCTAGATCAGTCAATGTTTATTTATTTCTTTTTGTGTGTGTGCTCAATGATTTTCACCCTTCTCATTCTCAAATTGATTTCAGGGTTAATCCGAAAACACAACGCAAATGTACAGGGCTTACTGATATTAGTATATTACTGTTAAAAAATTTTTAAGTGTTATGTCAACAGAGTAGGAAACCTTTTAGGTACCAGACCTTTAGGAAACCATAACCTTATTGGTGCCATGACGATTTTTTCACATAACAATACACAAGGTGCTATAAGTGCTCATTTTTTATGAGAAGGTTAAATTTGGCATATGTGTAAACAGTTAAATAAAACGTAATCACATGAGAATGCTTGTCAATGAATCTTATAAACTATATGCTCTAATTAAGTAGCTTAGGATCTATTTTTAACTTGCATCTTATACAAAAATCTAAAACACTGAACATACCATGTGTGTTTCTTAAATTATGCATTTTATGAACATATTTTCAGATCATATTGCTCATGCAAGTCAGAATAAATTATTCTACCATTGTCCTTTTTCTGCATTTGTAGGAAATATGGATAAAATTAATTCAAATACTTTATGAAATTCATGGCTCCTATTCTTTTAGAAAGATAATAAAGATAATATGGAGACAAAAGCATTTCCTCTTAGACATCACAAATAGGTTTTGCAAAGAGATGGTATATAGTTCCTTCCATAACATATATTTAGTTACTTGAAATAAGTGCAAATGAAATTAAAGTGTAATATACGAATTTTCAGTGGAGTTCCACAATTTTATTCTTATATGAGTTCACATAAAAACATATTAGTCGTTATATATTATTCACAGAACTGAAATGCGCAAAGCAATTAAAAACGTTCCTCTTCTATGTTTAAATAATACTGAACTAAAAAAATCTAAGAAGTAAAGTATGAGGAACATACTTTCCCGAAACTCACGTTCTTCAGTATAAGAACTGGCATACAAAATTAATATCCTTGTACAGAGTCTACATCATGCAACATTATATACACCCTTTCCTGTTGATAGAATAAAGTATCAAAATTAACGGAGGAATTATTTTCATCGATATATAACTATTGCATATCATATTTATCTGAGCAATTTTGTCGTGTATTTTAAAGGAATTGCATATATATATTAGGGCCTCAAAAAATAATGTCCTAAGAAAATAAAAATGTGATGTGTACACCACATGACTTCCTTCTACGGAATATTAAATTATACTCAATTTTTATGCATTTCATTTAAACATATTTAATTAACAACGAATTTTGAATTAAATCTACTTAATCGATAGCGCATAAACCACAATAGTATAAATGCAATGTATAAAGTTCACTATATTTATTTAACATAGCGACACTTCGGGGCTAGGTTCACTTAACAGCGTTACATCTCATTGATTTTGTAACTTAGAGTGTACAAAAATTATATCATTTAAAGAATTACCACATGTTCTATTCAAATACTATAATAAATCCAAAATTATGTATAAAAGAAATTAAACAAATAAAAAAGAAAGTC